ATCACTATAAAGTTCAAACTGTTGCGTAGGACAACATCCACAGCAGCGGAGCTTGCCGCCTTACGTGCTGCTATACTTTGTATATCGGAAGCCCGACATCAAAAATAGGCTGTGTTCTGCGACTCCAAGGCATCCCTTCAGAGCTTGCAATCAGCTTTACGACAAAGGGTGCATCAACATCTAGTGAATGAAATAAGAGAAGTGCTTCACGAAGTTTTATCGAAAGGACATGACGTGGTGTTCCAGTGGTTACCGGGACATTGTGGTATTGTCGGTAACGACCTTGCTGATAATACTGCCCGATGCGCCCAGGAGGACGCCCAGACAACCCCGATTCCATTGTCGAGAACCGACGCTGTGAGGGGCCTTCACTCGTTCGCTAACACTATGTCAGAAACTTGGCTGAGTGACCCCAGTGTCGGGAACCGCCGCCTACACAAATTGGACCCATCGAGAAAGCTTCAAGTTTTATCGGACATCTCCCGCCAGGATGCAACTTTAATGTGCCACCTGTGGTTAGTTAGGAGTAGCTTTTACGAAGGCGTACTCCTTTCGCATAGGAATGGCGGATAGCTCCCGATCTGAATCGTGCGTCACGGACGAGACAATAGCACATCTACTGTGTTCATGTGAACGTTTTGCGAGCGAACGCAACTTGCTACGCGAAACGTTAGAGACACTAGACAGTAGACCTTTTTCCCAATAGGAGATCCTTGGTTCATGGCTCTATGCGTCGCAGGCCAGCAAAGCGACGCGGGCATTGCTAAGTTTTCGAAAGACGACCGGACTACGCGACCGCTTATAAGCGTGCAATGAACAAGTTCACATCTACACACACGTTGCCCTTCACTTCTCTCTCTCTTCTCCTTTAATGCCCTCACCCCTTCCCCAGTACAGGGTAGCAAACCAGACGTGCGTCTGGTTGACCTCCCTGCCTTTCATTTCTTCCCTTCCGCCCTCCTCCTCCTGCTCTGACGTTGCCCCTCGTTGTGGGGCACGGACCAATCGAATGAAGAAAAAGGGTTATACGCTAGGAAGAGCCCGGATATCAGGGTTCACTGTGAGCTAGCTGTCCAGGAGGCCCATGATGTGGCACTTGGGCTTGCCTGACTGCTCCAACGTGGGAGCGGCCCAGCTGCACGTTGGGTCGTGCACCTCAGCACTTCGAATAAAGTTTCGCATCCATCCATTCATCCATCAGCTAGCAGTATGGCCTCAAACAAATAAACGAGTTGATGATGTTGATGATGGTTTCTTATCAATAACGTTCACCCACAAAAGTAATTTGCCCAAGATTTAGGCGTGAGGATGTTGAAAGTAATGTAATTTGAAACTAAAAGCAATCTGAAAAGTTTATTTAGAGATAACACTTCAAATAAATAAAGATGCTTACAGAAGAAGCAGTCAGACCATCTTTGTTTTCTGTTAGAAATAACAATGTTCATTGAAAGAGCCGAGCGTTGATTTACGGTTGTCATGAAGATGGCACATACTTACTACTGATCTGTTTTCTTTCAATACCTAAAGGGGCGATGACACTAAATTTCAAGCCTGTTGTGTGTTTCTTCTGTGTGCAAGGACTCTCCACAGGAAGAGTAGGACAAACAGAACGCGTAGAATATACTTTAATTCACTTCTAAATGTGTAGTCGAATGCTCACTCTCGCTATCTGGGCGAATCGCTTGTGCAGCAACACTGACGTTTCATATGGCTGTGTTCCAATTATTAGAGAGCACGTATACAGGTTACGCAGACTGCTTAGAAGACAGCACCGAGCCCATGCTGTCTGAGAAATGGAACACGTCTGTATGGCTTTTACGCGACGGTGTGCCACCTCGCGTCGAGAAGAGAAAGCCAAATTAAACAAACGTAACAGTTGTATTTTCTGGCTTATTTCGTGCTTAAATTTTAAAAAATTAAGCGTTACTCGCATTGACCGTCTGAAGAAGCATCTGCTTTTGTGCCGACGACCATTCCGGCTAGAGTCAATCTATCTTAGCAATTCGCTGAGCCGCCATCTTGTTTAGGCAGCAAAGTAGCTTGAATTGTATTTCTCTTTGACGCGGTCTTCTCGTAGCTGTCTATTTTGCTGGAAACGTGAGAATTGCAATGGGAATTAAGGTGGCCGCCATCAATTTAGCTGTCTATTTAGCCATCTACGGCTGAGTATTGGAACACACACTGAATACAAGAAGTAACGGAAGTTGTCGTGACGTCACACCAGATTTGGAGTGACGTGAGTGACCTCCGCTATTTTTGAAACGCATTTTGTGAACAAGGAAAGAACTAGCATGCCTGCTGTGGCGAGTGTGCTTGCGTCCCTTGCAGAGACACTGTGTGCGTCTCTCAAGGACTCTGGGTGCTTTCGAAAAGACACTCGACGCGTCGTTCAGAAACGCTGCGCGCGTTCAACAGCGGGGCTGTCTCATCCCCCATCAGCATCTTGGCGCCTATACACCTTTTCACAGGAAGGAAAAAAACACCGCCATGATCGGCTGTGCGCGGGAGTACAAAGACTAAGGGCGCCACGTTCTGAGTGCAATTTCGAGGGGATGGGCCCATTTGCACAGCCCAAGGAGGGCTATGGCGGCCCCCAGCGAGGCGTTTATGAAAAGGTGAATATAAAGCCGGCGCATCAAGCGTCGGGCGGCTTCCTCGTCCACGTAGTTCGAACGTTGTAAATGTTTCAAAGTGAAGCCATAGAGTAACATACTATACATGGGACAGCTTTACTCTCTCCCATAGTAGAGTACTTAGTACTCTAAATCGTTACCCACTTTTTCTAAACACACATATAAACGCTTTGTTTTCTTCTTGCTGCCGTTTGCCTCGCCACTGCCTCGATGCTACTGCAGCTGGTCATGACGACTGTCTGTGCGTCACAGCCTTGTGTGCTCTAGTGAGCAAGCCACCTATACATCGACGTCAATTCCCAATTCGGAACCGCGAAACTGAAACCCAAAATGGTCCGCTTAAGTAGAGTAATAATAAATGATTTAGCAAAATACACGAACCATGGTGTACGCATCATGCTTCCCGAAGCTGAAGGAAACGCTTACAGCAAAGAACACGCATGCCACAAATTTGATGGTGCCAACTTTTTGCAATCAAGCGAACCCAAGGTGAACCAGAAGTTGACCGAATCCTACACGCTAGTGCCATTGCAGTCACCTAATTGAAACAGTCACGTTGCCTTAAGTTTTTCAAGATTTTTTTACAGGGAGATATAGTGAACTGATACATTAATGTCCATCCTTCTTTTTTTTTTGCTCATCCGACTTGTTTACTGCACTCACCACGTGAAGATATACTAATATTACGACGTGTATTTACTGGACTGAGAAAAGGGAATAGAAGTGTGGACTTTGGAAGATCTCTCTCTCGGCAGCTTTGTCCCGTGTGACCTCGTCATTCAGCGTTCTATTGAACCAACCACCGTACCCCTATTTAAACGTAACACTAACATTTGGCCCACAAAGTCAGCACTATTTTTCAGGTCTTTCGAGTTTTCGTTAAGTTGATCATGCGAGGTGTTTTTACGCAGCGGTTAATTTCAAAGTATGTGATACGTAATTGAGTCTTGTTGATAAAGTTCAGCCACACATATTTCTACGCCTTTGTTTAAAACTAGTGTCTGGGCAGAATTTGGCTTTATCAAAATGATTACTTCACAAATATATCAGCACAACAGCTTCTCTCCTTTGCAACTTTCTTTAAATCTACGTGACCAGGCGACTTTGTCTGCCTATTCCTGAACGTACGTAGTGTTTACGTCTTTTAGATGCGGAGCATCTTATACTCGCGCCTTGTAGTGCGCCGTCCGCGCCGTCCGCGCCGTTCGCACCGCTTCTCGAACATTCGACAGCTGACGCGCGCGCATGCGCCGTCGCGCGTCGCCCACTCTTCCACCATCTGTGCATCCCTTCCTCCTCTACACACCGCGCGCGCTTCACTCCTCCACCATCTGTGCACCCTTCCTCCTCTACACACCGCGTTCGACATCTACAATTCTCCTGATTCTCCAGTGGATGCGCATGTGGCGTCGCGCTTCGAGAACATTCAACAGCTGACAGTGCATGCGCCGTCGTGCTGTATATATACTCAAGGTCGGCGCTCGCTCGCTCAGTTGCCGCTCGTCGGTTGGTTTGTACGGCACGTCGACGTCCAAGGTCGCGGTGAGATGAATTCCAACGAATCCACAAACACAATGATCGACGTCCCTTCTACCAGCGCCGCCCTTTCGCATACGTGTGTACGTGTTCACTCATTTAACACCCCCTCCTACAACCACGTTAACCAATTTAGCCATCGACCAAAGTAAGTCGCAATTTAACACCCCATTTCACAACCACGTTAACCAATTTAGCCATCGACCCAAGTAAGTCGCACTTTAACACCCCGTTAACCAATTATATGGTCCGCATCCTCCTCAGTGTTCCCCCGAGGGAAGCTGCGGGCAATTTTTATGTCCTGTAAACGAATGTCCATGTATGTCCTGTAAACGAATGATGTGTTTTGCGAACACATCATTCGTTTTACAGGACATACATGGTACCCTGCAAGGCCATCACCGAAACAGACATCAACTTTGATATAAAATGTGCCCCAGCTTCAAAGGGTTCTTTTCCCGGCTGCGGCAGATTCATTTTCGATGAACGCAAAAACGCTTGTGGCTCGTGTACTTAGAGTTGGGTGCGCATTAAGAAAACTCATGTGGACAAAATTTTCGGAGCCTTCTACTAAAGCGTTTCTGATATACGTATTGTAGTTTTGGGACGTAACCCCAACAAAGTATTGAATTCTGTTTTTGAAGAACTATGACTTCACTAACAGCACGACAATTGTTTAATTATTGCTGTTGTGATATCGATGCTGCTCAATACGAAATATTTTACCGAGACCACTTGCTTTATGTTGGTACATAGCAACTTTATAAGCAATACTGTACGCATTTATCAGCAGCCGATCATAACACTTGTCGCTTATAGACGGCGCCATACCTTGAACAAGGCATGAGTCGATCCTGAGCGAACGCATCCGTAGCGCACGGCTGACTGCTTCGCCAAGTCTTCGGCACTCTCGATGGGTGACAGCAGCCTCTCTTTAGTCAGTGAAGCTGTTAGGTTAGCCGTGTAAGAGGAAACCAGCAAGAAGGAGAAGATCCACCAAGTTGCAGCGATGATGCGCGCTGAAGCTTCCCTGTACATTATACCATGTTATGTAAAATTATCTTGAACAGGGAGTGCCCAAGCAGGCCACAGGGTGGAACTTTGTCGACACAGTGCCACCCTATAGGGAGTGTGCTATCTTATATGTTTTGTATATGGTATGTAGATGGATGATGTCCGATTTATGACAGAAATAGGTAATCATAAAAGAAGCTATGCAAATTGAGCCAAATGTAAGTAATGCGAACATTGCAAACTATCGTTAAGGTGGCGTTAAAGAACATGTAAAAAATAGGCAACAAACAGTCGGGAAATGCAAAAAAATCGTTACTTTCTAAACACTGGAAACACCGAATAAGTACTTTTCTGTAATTTTTGATAAAAAATTCACCAGGCCGCGACAAACTACTACGAAACACTATAGTTGTTAAAGTATGTTCTTCCTGTTTTTTTTAATATATATGTTGGATTCATGCCACCGTTAGGTACTTTGTTGCTGCCTATCATGGGGCAGCGTCATCTCGTCGATAGTACTTCGAACACGTGGCATAGAATATTTCAACCGAGATGGCCAAATCTAAGGTGTGTCACAAGAATAGGCCAGTTCTTACAAGCGGGACTGGAGGACGTCTTTCCGAGCGAGAACAATTCACTAAGGCTATTAGCCACATATCACCTCAATCTGTGAGCCGAGTTTCGATCTCTGCGCAATGTAACATTACTTTTTAGGCTTAAGGTGTAACATACCACTTCGTGAGTCATCATTTTTTATATCTATGCTTACTTTAGAAGAATTGGTGTTATTTTAACTATTCAGCGTAGTCCTATCTCGCGCAACAGAATGAAGCGACCCCTCAAGCGCTAACTTTTGTCTTTTGAACAATCTATTTTATCAGCATAAGGTCGAACACCAAACATTTGCTTAGTTGAAGTTTTCTTTTTATATGCAAACACAGAAAAGATTGAGAACAAGAATCGCAATATTTAGTTTTAAACAAAATCTATGCAATGAAGCAGTTGATGAAAGAAAGATACTTTTCCACTTACCTAGGAAAAATACCACAATCCTGCCTCGTGATGGCGCTAACTATAAACCAAAAACTGTTAGGGAGAGTGAAGTCACCTTGCACCGTTGGCAGAGTACTATTTCTCCGGCTGTCAGAATATATTGTATCTTGTTGTAGGTCAGAAGAACCGACTGCTTCCTGACCCTTGATGATGTCGAGCCTGGCACGGCCACTGTCTGTTTCAGTGTACCAATCGACATCACTTCGCGCTAAACTGTTTCCGCAGCAGCAGCACCCATAACGTCGCGATATGGCACTATTTCTGCGGCACACTGCACTCTGAGCACGAGCGACGCAGCACAGAATCACGCTCACGGCAACGCACGCCCCGGCGACACAAAGCCACACATCCCCCGAAAGCGGAGACAGGAAGAATAGGAGGAAACGCTTCTGGTCGGTCTTCTTGTAGAGTATGCTGACCCCCAACGTCATGAAAGGCATAGTGAAGTCGACAGATTGCTCGCGCTCTGAGGTGATGGTCAGGTCACCAATCGCCAGGTCTGCCTCCTGCAGTGAAGACGCAGAAATCTTCGAAGAGTTGAGCCGCTTAAAATAAAGATATTTGCTAGAGATGAGGTGGGTTATATGTACGCTTTTATACTGAAAAACGTATGACGCTACAATTGTCTTCAAGAAATTTTCAGATAATTTTGGTGGTTGACACATTCAAATAAAAGCTGTAAAGTCAATGGTTCAGAATATTTGCAAATAAAAGGTAGCCAGTATTTATTCTCAGATAATTCTGGTTAAAATGTCTCAATACCTTCACTAAGCTTAGCTTAACAGTCTAAACCAAGCCACCTGAGACTTAGAAGCCTCACCTTTAATCAACGAGATGGTGTCATTTCACTTATTACCCGCTTGTTCTCGGTAACGTCAGCCCTAATCATAGGGTCAATACAACAAAGCTTTAGAACACGGAGTTCTGTTCACAATGAAAAGAACATGACAGCACGCGTCTAAATTTATTCCTAAGAAAAGAAAGTGGTTAGGACTTTGGTGTCTATAACTCAAAAATGATAACTCAAGTCCTAATAATATTATCAACTATTAAGCACTGCGGCTGCTTGACCCTTAGCCTCAGTTAGACAACTGAGTGCGTTCTTTTTTTATCAGGCTGGCGTGTAAATGCGGTAAACAAAGAACGAGGGCGAATACGTATGGTGCATGGCGCATTAGCCATACTGAGCTTTTACGCATATGACACAAGCGGGTGAAAGCTGTCTATGTATGTGAACCAAGTCTACGGTATGGTGATGTTTTTTTATAAAGAAGCATGATAGCCTCACCTGGTTGCTTGTCTGTTAGAAGTCATTGTTGGTATTAAGAGCAGCAGAAGCTAGACGATAGGTTTATGTTTAAAATACCATTTATTCTGAAGACAACAAAGCTTTTAAAGCACAAGATAGTGCATAACGGCTGTATGCTGTGAATGGGAACGCAACCAAACTTTTAAAAGTACTGCGTGGGCTGCCTAAGAACCACGCGAAGTGTTACAATCGCAATCTGCACTAGCAAGTACGACAATTGTCCTTAAAGCTGTCTATCGTTACACTCATTTGTTGGCGTACGCAGTGAATTTTCTCAATCAAAACTTACCATGTCCACAAGTTCGCGCATTATGCCATTCCACCTGCCCTGTGAGTCACGGGTTCCGTAGGTGCCATCTCTGACGAGCTTGAGCCGGTAGCGGAAGCCCAGCGTTGCAGATATTTCATGGAGCAAATCCACGCAGTAACCCTCGAAGCGGTCGTTTCCCTCGAGCTTGTGCGCGGATTTCTTGAGCATGACGTATGGTGCATTCTGCAGTAATGATCGTGTAAGGCATACGCGAGAGCTTCACTCTGAAGTTTGGGCGATATCGCTTTCATGTTTTCTGCTTCAAGAGGCTTTAAGCTTGTGTCTATGCATTTTTACATTACCATGTCACGGGAATACAGGAACGCATGATTTTGCAAAGTTTTAGCTCCCCATGCCTAAACTTTTATGCACGTACGTAAACGTATACCTTCTCGTTTATGAAAACCACTAAATGGTGATGAAAACTGCATCGCCTCACCTTGTCACAGCTGCACATTTTGTAAGGTACCCTGGCCCAAGGACGCATCCTCACCGTTAGGTCAAGCGGTACCATTGACAGGGACGCAGTGGTTGACCTTGATCATCGCTGCATTCTCTGAGGAATCGCCATCGCCTGTTGTTTAGTGCAGTTTTTGCATGGTCATGCCAGTTTCACCGCCTACAACACGATAACAGAGCCGTAACTACTGCGAGAGGGGTCCACCGTTGCCAGCCTTATTGACATAGCACCGGTATATGTCGTCGCTGTATCATCTCCGTCGTCAGTCACCAAGTGAATGCCACCAGGAGGCTCATCTAATGCGCTTGAAGCTACTTTTAGTCCATTTCTTCCTTCAACGAAAACTAATGACTTATTGGCTCTTTTCACAAAACACCAGACTTGTTTTGACGTTTGTTTGGATGGCTGGGGTCAAACTACGGCGGCTTCTCATCGCATCGCCAAACAGGTCTCGTATCATTCGCCGTCACCCCTACCGTGGGTCGCATTCAGAACGCAAGGCTATCGAGGAGCCCCTCCGCGGTGGTCTAGTGGCTAAGGTACTCGGCTGCTGACCCCCAGGTCACGGGATCAAATCCCGGCTGTGGCGGCTGCATTTCCGATGGAGGCGGAAATGTTGTAGGCCCATGTGCTCAGATTTAGAAGCACGTTAAATAACCCCAGATGGTCGAAATTTCCGGAGCCCTCCACTACGGCGTCTCTTATTATATGGTGATTTTAGGACGTTAAAACCCCAATTATTAATCAAGGTTATCGAGAAGCAAGTCAATGACATGCTCGCACGCTACGTTATCAGGCCTTCAGCAAGCCCTTGGTCTTCTGTTGTCCTAGTTAAGAAGAAGGACGGATCAGTGCGAGTTTGCGTTGATTACAGGGCACTAAACAAAATGACCCGGAAGGATGTATATCCCATGCCTCGGATTGACGATGCCCTAAACACTTTACAGGGTGCAGAATACTTATCAAGCCTTGACCTATGATCTGGCTATTGGAAGATCCTGATGCATCAGTCTGATAAAGTGAAGACGGCGTTTGCTATAGTCCTGATGCCCTCTTCGAATTTAATGTGATGCCTTTCGGGCTCTGCATTGCCCCAGCCACATTTGAGCGAATGATTGACATGGTGCTTCGGGGCCTAAAATGGAAGACCTGTCTTTGTTTCCTGGACCACATCGTCATCTTTTCATCAATCTTCTCGCAACACTTAGAACATCTATACGAGGTTCTCACATGTCTAGCCAAAGGCAGTCTCCAGCAAAATACCATGAAGTTTGCGAGCCGTTGCAACAAAATGTTAGGTCACGTTGTCAGCAGGCTTGACATCGAACCTGATCCCGGCAAGGAGGCCGCTGTGTTGCACTTTCCTAAGCCCACCACGCAGATGACCAGTCCTAGTCCTATCGATTTCACTGCCCCGTATGACCTCCTTCAGTCCGCAGACCTCACTTCACTCCAACGTGAAGAAAAATACTGCCGTGCAATCATCGATCGTCTCACTGGCTTTCCCCGTGCTCCCAACAGCCGCTTACGACGACAACTCGAGTGCTTCAAACTTCATGATGGGGCACTACTTCGGTTATTTACCATCCTCTCCGTAGCCGATGGGTCCGTGTCATACCTCGCTCACTGCGATTTCAAGGTTTAGAAGCGTGTCATGACGACCCGACGGCTAGCCACTTGGGTTTTCATAAAACCTACGGTCACATTAAGACTACCTGCATTTGGCCTGGCCTCTCCACTAATGTTGCCAAGTACGCCACTTCCTGTTCGCCATGTCAGCATCGAAAACGTTCGAAATCTCCTCTCGCCGGCTCCCTACAACCTCTCCAGTGCCCATCCGCTCCCTTCGAGTTCGTCGGTATAGACTTATACGGACCCCTTACGGTTACCCCCGCCGGTCACCGTTGGATTGTTACTGCCGTATACCATCTTACTCGCTATGCTGAGACGGCAGCTCTTTCTTCTGGCGCTGCCTCCATACTGGCCGACGTTGTTCTGAGTGCTATTATCTTGCGCCACGGCGCTCCTCGTGTTCTGAGTGACCGTGGCAGGACATTTCTTTCTAATGTGCTCTTTGAAGTCCTACAGGCCTCTGACATCATCCATAAGACCACCTCTGCATATCACCCGCAAACAAATGGTCTCACTGAGCGTTTTCATAGAAGTTTGTCAGACGTGACTTCTCTATGTATATCCAACCCAACCACAGGAACTGGAACACAATAATACCTTTCGTCATGTTCGCCTACAACACTGCCATTCAACGCACTACAAGTTACAGCCCGTTTTTTCTTGTGCTTCCTCGATGGCCGTCAACCATCTTTTGTTCTAGACAGCAGCTTCTTGGCCACGCCCTCTGTTTCATCTGCATTCCTTCCAGAAGAGTTCACTGCCCGTGTCAACCACTGCCGCACAATCGCCCGCGCAAACAACTAGTATTCAGGCCCAGCAAAACGTTCATTGTGATGGGACACGTCAAGTTGACACGTCAAGTTGTGTCCTTCTACCCAGGCGACGATATGCTCCTCTTGACACCTGTTCGCACACCCGGCCTCTGTGAAAAAATCATTTACAGATACTTGGGTCCTTACACCGTGCTTGAACGAACATCGGCCATGAATTATCGCGTCAATCTGGTTACTTCGGCTTCTGATCGCCGTCGTCACGGGACTGAGATTGTTCATGTGTCTTGTCTGAAGCCTTATATCCGACGCTCGTACCTTTACTAAATGGGCGTCTTGCTGACCGCTTTCGAGTAGGGGGGAGAAAGTGTGAGTACTGACTCTGTAGTTCATCACCTGCACATACAAATCATCGTGATCATCATCGCCGTAGTCTCTCGCCGCGTGTTTGGTTGCTGGCTCACGCATCTGTGTTGAAAATACAATGGTCGCTCCTTCGTATACCTGACACCATCTCGCATTATATTTGATTTAGTTAAAATTGAATCATAACTGAGGCAGAATAATAGATGTTTTTACTGTTTAGCGTATGCTGTTGTATAAAAACCCTGCATTACCGGACGATGGTATTGACACCACGTGATGAAATGGGCACAATTGTTAGCACCTAGTATTTATTTATGTATTTGTTTATGGTATACCTGCATCGCCCCATTGGGCGATGCAGGTGGGTTACATCCAAAAACATACCAAGTAAACACACTCCCAAAGCGTGCTGAAACACATCGTTGTTCAAAATGTTATGAAGGAAATATTAGTAAAACAAATTCCTCCGTCATTGTCCCACTACAAAGCATTTAATCAAGAAATGGGATGCATGACATTTCTGCAAGAATAATTTTGTGCCCCGCCTCGGTGGTCTAGTGGCTAAGGTAGTCGGCTGCTGACCCGCAGGGCGCGGGTTCGAATCCCGGCTGTGGCGGCTGCATTTCCGATGGAGGCGGAAATGTTGTAGGCCCGTGTGCTCAGATTTGGGTGCAGGTTAAAGAACCCCAGGTGGTCTAAATCTCCGGAGCTCTCCACTACGGCGTCTCTCATAATCATATAGTGGTTTCGGGACGTTAAACCCCACATATCAATCAGTCAATCAAGAATAATTTTGTGCTCTCTTGTTTTTGCTTGACCACCTCAGATGGCGTCTCCTATCCAGCATTTCGGGGGGCTTTAGGTCTTTTACCTTTATGTTTCCGGCATTCCAGGTCCGCCAGATTCAAGGTGGGTGAAGCAAGCTGATAACAATTCGCACTCGAATTTGCGGCTTGAATCTCTGCAAGGCGGAAACCGGGCTTGGACTCGCTCGTTAGATTCCGTGCCAACCTGTTGTGCCCCCTCCATCTCCAATGACAGCGCAGCTATGGCCGACCGGCCTGTCCTCCGCCAACTCCTGACGCCGTGAAGCTCTCGCTGAGTGGTGCCCTGTCCTCGGACTCCTACGACCGTGTCCATGTTTCCTATCTTCTTTCTTCTGTATGTGGGTCTCTCTGTTTCTGCCCCTATCTCTATCCATATCCATTTATATACTTCCTTACCGCCATCCTTCGTGAGTCACTCTTGAGGTGTCGCACTACGATGCAGACAGTTACGGGCTTACTTTTATCTTCTCTCTCTTAAGAATCCCTTACAAACCATGCTTAGCCACGAACGAAGGTGACTTAGAGAGATAGGGCCAGAAAACGTAAAAACCTTTCGGGAGGCAGTATGTGGTTCTAAAAAGTTTTACGTCTTGTAGAGGCTCGTGCATGCGCATTTTAGTTCTGGTGTCTGATGACGCGGTTAACACTAAAGAAGTATACATACAAGATAAAAGTCCTTTATACACGGATTCAAACTGCGTTTTTTTTTTTTGGATAACCCGCATTCACCACTACGGAAAAATAACACTGCATGTTTTCTACCGTGTACTGTATCCCAGCTACTCATAGGGGCATTGGAATATCGTGTTACCGACCGGTGGTACCAAAATCTTTGCGACACTTGAGAACCATAGTCATGGACACGTTTTTTTTTCCCTTTGATTACGAAGGACACTCATTCTTAACTACACTGCTGCAACACGTTTCTGCAAAAATAATTTGGTGCTTGCCTGGTTTTTCTTTCCCCGCTATAGGTGGCACAACCTATCCGACCTTTAAGGGGCTTTATGTCAATAAAGTTTAGGGCTTCCATTTTGTAGATCACTCAAATTAATAATAATTGTTGTGGTTTAGCGGTATTATAATAATTAAAGTCGTAGTGGAGGGATGCGGTAATTTCGACCTCATGGAGTTCCTTAAGGTGCACGTAAATCGAAGCACATCCACTTCAAGCTTTTTCACCTCCATCAATAATACGACCACCGCTGCCGGGATTCGATATTGTGGCCTACGGGTCAGCAGTCTATTGCCTTAGCCGTTGAACAAGCGAGGAAGTAGCCGTGAACGAAGGCGAATTCAAATTCTATGTATGGTAGTGGACGTGAAAAATACCTGGTGATTAGTTTACGTTCCGTGAAAGCCAGTATAAGTTTCATAAACACATGCGCAAGCGCTGATTCAAGACGGTATTCAATATCACATTGACGTCAGACAACATATGTATACGCTAAGAGCCCCTATTACTGTGTAGCATACTTGATAATTTCGTATTGAAATGATCTAGCATGTAGCCTTAAGTGATCATACAGAGTTATGCACAAGAAGGAGCACAACTACGCAAGTATTTCTACTTGCGCACATTCGGCTGGCACATACTAAACACGTTTAAACTAGCTACTACGTTTTCGTTGATTGCGAAGTTTGCTCGTAGCTGCCGTAATGCAAACAAAATTGGTAAATATGCGAAACCGCATGAATTTTTTTACATTACCTCAAGTGATGGCTCATTTGAACACTATTCTTATATTGGTTTGCTTTACGGGTCTGAAGTGATTGATTTAAAAGTGTTGATGTAGCCCGTCTTTTTCTACCGATTTTTCTTTCCGCTGTTTTCCCCTCTATATTCATCCTTCAAAAATGGAGGGCAGCACACCAGATGTTTGATTTTGAGTGATCTTACCATCTTTCCCTTATTTAGTCTCCTTTCTCTCTCTAGCAGCCCAATAAACACTTTTCGTGTAATTTTATTTTGCCTGCTTCTGACAGTATCTAAATGCAGATAACCGTTTGCCAAATTGGTTGAAAATCTCTACATTTGTACTGTTGTTTTGGGTACACAGTCTTTCACACTTGCATCTGTCGGCCAATCAAATACTGCAGCCACGTTATGGGGCTAGCAGGAGTGGGTACACGCAAGGAATAATAAAAAGGTACAAAACAAAACAGCTGAATACACAAGTACATTGGCAGATCATAGAAATACAGAAATTTTACAAACAGAGTTATACAAACAATGAAAGGTTTACAGCACACCGTCTTTTAATGCCTTCGAAAATTCATCTTTCTGCAGAGACCGAATGTGACCTGGTATGAGGTTCTATATTTCATACATCGAGGAAAAAAGGTGTATTGAAGAAATCAGTACGAGGATGAAACACAGATACATTAAGTGCGTAGCTGTTTCTGGTGGATGATGGTTTGGCAGGTGTTATGTAGTTTTTGTGCGGTGAATATTGCGGTGAATTAAATAAAGAGTGAAAAAGTTTCAGAGACTCGATGTCTCGTCTTTTAGAAAGTGATGATAGACCAAGCTGCGCTAGATGGCATGATGGTGAAAATTACGATCATAGCGTCTGTAAATGAATCGAATAGCTTTTTTCTGGATGGATTGAACGCGTTTTATTTCAGTGATTTTATAAGGTACCATACAGTGGCTCCATACTCAAGGCTCGGTCGTACGAGGGTTTTGTGTGTAAGCAGTTTGTTTCCCTTGGGGCTAAACGTAGTGAGCGGTTAAGGTATCCAAGTTTCTTCAGATCCTTGTTGCATGTTGTATCGATGTGACTAGACCAAGATAAGTTAGTAGTGAAAAGGAGACCAAGGTACTTATATTGTGAGACCCGCTGTACTACATAGTTATTAAAAAAAAAAAAAAAAAATCTATATATATATATATATATATTATATATATATATAATATATATATATATATATATATATATATGATCCCACGAAATGCAGCTTTACCAGTCCGACCACCTACTAAACAGATAACTAAGCCAGGTGCCGCAACTTCCACCAGGTTCTAATAGTGAACGACGGTCTCACCAATATCGTCGTTATTCTCAGAGTCTTGTTCTTCAATACGCTGAGTATTTCGTCCTCAAACATCTTTTCTGCTCGAGTAATGTTTAGCCCCGATGACATACTCCACGTTCCAACCTGAGAATAAACACGGAAACATGAAAAGTACGAAGATTAAGCAAGAAATGCCATCGTAAAAATACAATTTTTTGCAATCTTTCTAGGGCGGCACTTAAAGTTAGTTTGTACGCACAGTTTGAAAACGAAAAAAAAAGATACTTCGAGCACCTCTAACTTTCACCTTCTGTAGTAGGATAGGATGGCGCATTCTGTCCTTCAGTTCGTCATGTTTCACCAAGCCATAGGCAAATGTTGTCTATGCACGTGGCATTGGCTTTTTCGAACTATTACAGCATGCATGTACCCACTACGTCATAGTTATTCGATTCGAAAAGTGGCGAAGTACCCGCCCGCAAGGTGCCGTGTGCATCTCGGCAACAACCCACTTTGCAATGAGAGGGCTGCTTTAAACAGCTGACTCACTGCGCAATTTGCACATTTTGATGCCTGGTACAATGGTAAGATTCTGCAACGTGATGCTTCTTTCATCTAGATGGCCCCTTGGTAGATAACATTATTATAACCTTTTTCTTAAGCAGCCTGAAGGGCGGAAGTGGCTCTCCGGCAGAACACCATCTAGCCCGCAGGAGGTACAAGTTCGACTCATCACTTGGACCAAAATTTTTAATGTTTTTATTCTGTTCAATGTCTTACATTCAAGGCCTCGAGAGACGCGTATAAAATTGTTACCTACGAAACATAGGTGCAACCATCTAAAACGAGGCACGATTGCATGTAATTTTAACTCTTCGCGACGTCTATCCCTATAGAAAAATAAGCGCACGTGTTGTTCAACACTATGTTGAAAAAAAATACATATTTTCAAGGTAAGATTGTACGTGACAAGTGAACTAAATGTAGCTTGTAAACCACGTCAATGCTAAAAATCAAGCATTCAATGTACAACTAATTCCACTGACAGAGCTAGATGACGGTTTTCTGCTCTAAACGGAGCAATCACATTTCAATGGCAGATTAGGAGCGTGCGTAGCTGTTTCTGGTGGATGATGGTTTGGCAGGTGTTATGTAGTTTTTGTGCGGTGAATATTGCGGTGAATTAAATAAAGAGTGAAAAAGTTTCAGAGACTCGATGTCTCGTCTTTTAGAAAGTGATGATAGACCAAGCTGCGCTAGATGGCATGATGGTGAAAATTACGATCATAGCGTCTGTAAATGAATCGAATAGCTTTTTTCTGGATGGATTGAACGCGTTTTATTTCAGTGATTTTATAAGGTACCATACAGTGGCTCCATACTCAAGGCTCGGTCGTACGAGGGTTTTGTGTGTAAGCAGTTTGTTTCCCTTGGGGCTAAACGTAGTGAGCGGTTAAGGTATCCAAGTTTCTTCAGATCCTTGTTGCATGTTGTATCGATGTGACTAGACCAAGATAAGTTAGTAGTGAAAAGGAGACCAAGGTACTTATATTGTGAGACCCGCTGTACTACATAGTTATTAAAAAAAAAAAAAAAAAATCTATATATATATATATATATATTATATATATATATAATATATATATATATATATATATATATATGGGAGTAATAATTCATTGGGCCAGTTAGTTTTCGTGAAGGTATGATATGGCACAACGGGAGCGTTGTCAACAAGGATAAATATATTTATTTCCCAACAGTTTCGGGAGGGGTCCTCCCTTCATCAGGGGATCAGGGTATAACTCATCCCCTGATGAAGGGAAGACCTCTCCCGATACTGTTGGGAAATAAATATATTTATCCTTGTTGACAACGCTCCCGTAGTGCCATATCCCATACCTATAATATATATATAATATATATATATATATATATATATATATATATATATATATATATATAAGGGAAAGAAGTGTATACTTAAGGGCTCGTTTTTCCGTGTTTTAACACAATATTAATGAGATCTAACAGACAGTGATGTCAATGAATGTACGGGGCAAGTTATTGAACCAATGGAATGTAAATAAGAAGAAAGAAAAGAGGATGAAAATAACCAGCCGTGACGGCGGCTATTTTTTCATCCACTTTTTTTCTTCGTATTTACATTCCATTGGTTCTAATAACTTCCCCTGTACATTCCTTGGCATCACTGTCTGTAGATCTCATATATATATATATATATATATATATATATATATATATATATTATATATATAATATATATATATATATATATATATATATATATAATGATCTCACGAAATGCAGCTTTACCAGTCCGACCACCTACTATACAGATAACTAAGCCAGGCGTCGCAACTTCCACCAGGTTCTAATAGTGAACGACGGGCTCACCAATATCGTCGTTATTCTCAAAGTCTTGTTCTTCAACACGCTGAGTATTTCGTCCTCAAACATCTTTTCTGGTCGAATAATGTTCAGCCCCGATGACATACTCCATGTTCCAACCTGAGAATAAACACGGAAACATGAAAAGTACGCAGATTAGGCAAGAAATGCCATCACAAAAATACAATTTTTTGCAATCTTCCTAGGGCGGCACTTTAAGTTAAGTTAGTTTGTACGCACGATTTGAAAACGAAAAAAAAAGATACTTCGAGCACCTCTAACTTTCACCTTCTGAAGTAGGATGGGATGGCGCATTCTGTCCTTCAGTTCGTCATGCTTCACCATGCCATAGGCAAGGGTTGTCTATGCACGTGGCATTGGCTTTTTCGAGCTAGTACAGCATGCTTACTGCCAGAGCAGTTGCGATGTGTCCACTACGTCCTACTTATTCAATTAGAAAATTGGCGAAGTACCCGCCCGCAAGGCGCCGTGCGCATCTGCGCAGCAACCCACTTTGCGATGAGCGGGCTGCTTTAAACAGCTGACTCATTGCGCAATTCGCACGTTTTTACGCCTGGTGCAATGGTAAGATTCTGCAACGTAATAATTCTTTCATCTAGATGACCCCTTGGTAGATACATTATAATAACGTTCTTCTTAAGCATCTGAAGGGTGGAAATGGCTCTCTGAAAGAACACCGACTAGCCGCAGAAAGTGCCAGTTCGGTTCTAACTTTGACCAAAGTTTTCAAGATATTTTTATTCGCATGTATGTCGAATTACATCTCTCGACCACTTTCACTATCTACCAAGTATTCATTGCCAACACCGATGCCGAAATTTCAGCTAAACCAGCCGTTTAATGCTCATCATCATCATCATCATCATCATCATCATCATCATCATGATCATCATCATCAGCCTGACTACGTCCACTGCAGGACAAAGGCCTCTCCCATGTTCTGCCAGTTAACCCGGTCCTGTGCTTGCTGCTGCCAATTTATACCCTAAACTTCTTATTCATATCTGCCCACCTAACCTTCTGTCTCCCCCTAATGTATCACATTATAATATCTTCACTGCAGAAAAAAATTCGGCGAGCTGTAAAAGCATCAGATATTAACAAAGGAACACGAGGATGCTGTGCTACAGTTGCACATTAAGATATATTACTTACTGAGCAAACGCGATTTGTTGTCCACGAAATTCAACCACCACGGGAAAATCACATTGTTCTATGTATCGCATGCCAACGCCAGGTTATACTTACATCATGGCAACGCATTATTCGTTCATTCACCATTCAAGCTGAAAATTTGCGTAACAGGGTTCATAATGTGGAATAGTAAACAAGTTGCATAAATTCAACCAAAGCGGCAGCAGGCAATTTGCTGATAACGCTAAATAAAGTGCTCTCCAGATTAATAATAAGAGTTGTGACGTAGGTAGCAGTCTTTGTTGTCATATGTTACATATATCTGACACTCTGTCCTACGATCCACCACAGTTGCGCCTGAGTGGCTTCAGTATGCAAGGTTAGGTAACAAGTAAACCGGTGTTACTGACGTCAGCTGGTGTTGAACCTGTTCAATGGCTTACAATTTAAGTCCTCGAGAGACGCGTATAAAATTGTTACCCTACAAAACATAGGTGCACCCATCTCATAGCAGGCACGATTGCATGTAATTTTAACTATCCGCGACGTCCCTCCCCTATAAAATTAAATGCACGTAATGTCTAACACTGTGGTGAAAAAAAAACATAGTTTCAAGGTAATATTGTATGTGAACAAGTGAACTAAATGTCACTTGTAAACCACGTCATTGATAAAAACCAAGCATTCAATGTTGAATTCTAATGGCACAGCTAGATCAAGATTTTCTGCTCTAAGCGGAGCAATCACATTCCAATCGTGAATCAGAAGCGTGCGTTGTGTGTTCAAATGGCAGATTGAGAGCAACCGCAGATCATGGATTGATTTTTGGAGCAAGAATTCTTGTTCCACCAAAACCGGTGAATTTGACGGGAAGTTCACGGGACCTATTCTGTGCACCCGCCTTTCATCCAATCATGAATGGATGTCCGTAAAACGCTTTGCGCTCACTCACGCCCTGACATGCTCATTTGCTTTATTTGCGCTCACAAACTGCTTCAGTCGAGATGTGTGCGTTCCAATCGCAGATTTGTGAAATACCAGGCTTGGATCTGCGCGCTCTTTTTGCTGTCTGGGCCACCGCTTGTGTCTGCTCTTGGAATTCGACATCACTTACCGAAGTGAGTCCCGTACGCTTGAGTTTTGCCACGTACAGTGACACGTTTCTCCGCTGGCCCGAAGAATCCAGCCACAATGGTCCACTCAAGCCCGAGAAACGTATCTGCCAAAAACATGATTTAGTGAAATAAAATTTCAAACAATTATCAACCAGTTCCTCACAGTGAAAAGGGGCCACCGGGTAATGTATGAAAGGAGAGGCAAGGAAGTCGCAACCTTGCCCACTTTGGACACCAATCACGACCATCAATAAAGTTATATTCGCCTTGTCTAAAATGGCTCATGTTTATCTGAGCTTAGACACTTTGAATACAAAACAATAATCAAGGTTGTGCTTTGCTTGGGCTGACAGCAGCTTGCCATCGTTTACCAAAACGTATCACACTCAGAATGTCCTCCAGCGAACATTTTCACAAATAACACTTTCACGCGTGTCACTTTTCGAAGCTGGCCAGCTAGTGGCAAAACACACTTAGCCAAGGCCGCTTTTTTAATAAAGTCAAAGCTTAAAATATCAGAATGCGCTACTTTCTTTAGTAAATATTGTGATATTGCAAAGACAAAACAAGGAGGAATGTTTCTCATTGAGTGGCTCTCTTTCTTTGTTCTTCGCCGATAAATAAATTTTCGAGACCTCTTTTCTAAACAATGGTTTAGGCAAGAGTACCAACAAAGCTTCTGCTCATCTGTATGGAGTTGAAAAACACCTGTCTTGGACAAGATGTCTTGCGTACTTGAACGTCGTCGTCGTTGCGAAAACCCAGCCTCCTCATGGACGTCTTTCTGATTTTTTATATGGGTAACGTAAACTGATCATTTCGCCTAATTTTCTTCCCATCTGCATAAAATATTCCGGTCCCTGAAAACATCCTCATTATTCTACTAATTGTAAATAAAAAACGGTCCTCCTGCGAATAGTAAGCATGAGCATGTATTATGGATCTACTTAGATCAAACGCGAAAAGCACCATGTGTTGTTGCCGAAATAACAGCAAGCCTTTGTTCGAGAAAGTAATTTTCCCAACTTCCGCACACATACATAGCGCTGGTAATTGGCTGTGCTTGTTCGCGACTCCTGTACAGCTACGAACTCCTCATTAGTCAGTTTCTGCTGAATATAATTCTATCGCCTGTGGCTCTGTTTATGCAGCGTTTTAAATGCTTTTACAGTGGAGAATCTGGTAAGGTGCCTTATCAAAACCAAACCCTGATCAAGCATTATCCAGTACAGCCCTTCAGGCAGCCACTTCTCTGGTGCCTAATTCTTAGACTAGGTACACTGAACCATGTGTATACTCAGTGTCCTTATCGTTAAAAGCTTGCCTTGCGCGCTTACAGCCGCATATACTTTTCCTGTTCCTTATTACTGGGAGCGGAAGATAACTTTACAAACGTTGGTCGCTGCTCGCGATATTTGTCGCTCTAGTATATTTACTTCCGCTCCTATATTGCAGCTGCTAGCTGCTTTTGTAGATAACTTAATATCTAGTGGCCTGTAAAGTAAAACACTGTGACGACACTTTTATTTCTCTGACATAGAAAAGCTCCGGTGTAAGATACAAAAAAAAGGCAGATCCCACGTGAAGAGGGAATCGATGTTATGAGAAGTACGAATGACAACTGTTGATATGTCACTTCAAAATCAGCACAACCTTAAGAGGTGAAGGTAATGATGCTGTACATGACTTTTGCGTCTTGATTATCATGTTTGTATTTATCGTTCACCTTCGTCATCAATTCATGTCACTTGCTACCAAATTTAGTATATCTGGAGCTAGCGAAAGACCGCGAGCACACTATGAGCGTGGTATGTTGTCAAGTTCTTGCATGACACGCATGTCAGATTATCATGTTTGCCCCAGTAATATATTTCGTCATCCATTGACGTCACGTAACCCCAAATTTGCTATATGTGGAGCTAGCAACACAGCCATGAGCGCATCATGAATTGCCGAATATGCTCCAATTTAGCGTTGACGCGCGCGCACGCTGGGCATAACGACGCTACGTTAGCAAAATGCGAGCACTCTATAGTCTGACGCCGGGCGCGATAAGCATCCGTTGGCGCGGCTGGCAGCAACCAGCGCGAAATGCGATATGCTGCATTTCGCGCCGATGCCTTACCCAGACGACACTGCGTCTCCCTCTTTTCATGATGAAGGGACGCTGGACGCGCTGAAACGTGCATGCGTCAAAGCAACGCAGCGCGGCGCACTTCTTCTAGTATATGGCAGGACCGGCGCCTGGCGTGGCAACCCCGGCGTGACGCGACGAAATGAACGCCAGCGAGCACGTACACAGCGTCAGATCGAAATTAATTGGTGCCTTGATTGTGGCATGTAGTCACGTTATTGCATGACACGCATCTCATTTTTATCATGTTTGCACCATTATCATACCTTCGTCATCCGTTCACGTCACGTTATACCGCGTTTGGTACATGGGAAGCTAGCGAAACAGTCGTGAGCGCATCATGAGCGTAGCTTGTAGTCATACATGACATGCATCTCATGTTTATCATGTTTGTACCAGTATTATATGTTTGTCATCCATTCACTTACTGTAATACCAAATTTGGTATATTTAACGCTAGCGAAACGGCCACGAGCGCATCATGACCGTGGCATGTAGTCATGTTATTGCATGACCCGCACCTAATGTTTATCAAGTTTGCAGCAGTATCATACCTTCGTCATCCGTTCACGTCCCGTAATACCAATTCGGTATAAGTGAAGCGTGCGAAACGGCCGCCAGCGCATATTGAGCGTGGCATGTAGTCATGATGATGCATGACACGCATCTCATCATTATATTGTTTGCACCAGTCACATACTTTCGTCATCGATTCACGTCCCGTAATACCAAATTTGCCATAAGTGAAGCTAGCGAAACGGCTTCCTGCATATCATAAGCGTGGCATGTAGTCACGTTGTTGCATGACACACATCTCATGATTATCATGTTTGCACCAGTTGCATACCTTCGACATCGATTCACGTAGTGTTATACCAAATTTGGTATGTGACGCTACCGAAACCGCCGCGAGCGCATCATGAGCGTGACATGTACTCATGTTGTTACATGACACGCAAGTCATGATTTTATTGTCAGGGTATGTCGCTTGTGTTCGCCATGCAATCATGTCATGCCATACCACTTTTGCAATATGCCATGTGAACGAAACCACCGCAAGAGCTGCAGGACCATGAAATGTAAATCATGACATTCTTGACATCATATCATCATTTTCATATCATGACTATTCAAATAAGTTCTTGATAGAGTCATGTTATACCATACCAAGTTTGGTATCGATACCATTATTGAAACGGCCAGGAGACCTAAAGGTCGTAGGCGGCTAGATAGATAGATACGCTCAAAGTCGCCGAAGTTCGCTAAGAAATGCTTCGCATTTAAAATTACTATTGACTCATGAAAAGAAATGAGATTGAAGACTGCCTGCTTTCGTTATTTCGTGACGACTGCATGTTACAAGGCGAAAACGAGAGAAATGTTTGCTTTTCGTAGCAAACGGTACTTGGAGAAATTATGGAGAACGAGGCTTGCCGTATGTAATCTTGTTACATGCAATAATTTAAGGTACCACTGCCGTGAGTAATCTTGCTACATGCAATGGTTGAAGGTACTGTAAAAAGTGTGGGTGACGAGAAAGCGACTTAGCGAGGTTTAATGCGCAAAGGTGGTACTACTCATAGTGTAGAACACCCCGAACGACAAGGTACCATTCCTAGTCTTCCTCGCGTTGTTAGGTGACTCAACGGTTTCAGTTGCAGCGACAGCACAGAATGTCATGCGAGCACTCAGAAGTACACCTTGCTATCAAATTGGCAGGTGAAGTCTCGCGAGGGATTATCAAGGTCAATGTATACGAATGAGCACTACACAATTTGTTGATTTACGCTCAGGATGTTGGCGTTGTACATCTCGCGTACAGTCTGCGCGATATCCTGTAATACTTCCTAACAAGGTTCGCTACCAAATATATTCTATCAGTTTCACTACTCATACTTTAGGTACACCCCTCATTTGTGAAGATGTAGACTTTGCAATCAGAATCACTAAATCTTACTTATCTCCTGTTCTTTTTTGAAACCGTGAAATTAAAGATCTTTGTCTACCTTTCAAACAATGTTCGGTGCCAGACATTTCTGATTAGTTTGACTAATAGCCCCTTATTTATGAAAAAATAGACCATGTTACCAAAAAATCACTAAATTTTAGTAACGTTTGGTTTCTCGAACCACGAAATACAACATCTCTAACGTTCATTTCTTGTTTCTCTCTCATACGTCATTAGCGCTCTAATGTGACGGAACTTCGAACATGTCCACAGCCGGCAAATTTACCACTGTGGACAAGAAAATTACACATTAAGGACACCTCCTTCAGAGCTCTAGCTATTACGTCTATTTGACATATTTGATTTAAGGGAGTTAGTGCTTCTTGCGTGATATACACAAAATTATGGCCGTGGTCTCAAGGGCTTATTCGTCCAACAGCGTAAAACCATATGATGGAGCATGGGCAAATTGTTTGCTCCTATTAGCACCTAAATATGGAACTGATGTTTTTCAACCAACACACAGTGCATTTTCAAAGAAGCCATGGTTAGGCTTACGAGTGAGATCACTATGTTAAAATTTAGTTTGACCGTACATGTCATATGGCCGATATGGTGGTGCTACTATATATGCTACGAAGTAAGCAAAATTGCCATTAGAACTGGACAAATTCGTTATGTGATTTCTTCTGAAAATAAAAAAAAACTGCATGGTGTCCGCCACACAGCATGGCTTTGAGTCAAAGCCCGAGACAATGTTTTATTCTGCAATGAATACACACAATTCTTTACGAATATGAGCAATCTCGCTGCTGTATTGTACGCAGGTTTCTATAAAGAACCTTCGGCCTGCGCATTCCACTTTGTTAGCTCTATATTGCAACAATGACAAGGCACATTTCAATGCCACCTGGCAAGATTGAAAACTCTACGGCAGTTATTGAGAAGGTTTGATGACGCAGCTTCACGACGCGTTGTTACGTTCAAAATGACTATTAGACGTCATATTCAAAACAAACGTCTTTTTGTGCGTGTTGCACCTACGGTATTCATCGTATTAAATGATGCTTGGAATTCTTCAGGACCCCAATAAAAAGTTTTAATATCCATATAACAAGTGTCGCAACTGGTTGTATGAAAGTATATTCAAGATATTGGGCTTACCTTTCTCACTGCCTCTTTAAGCATGTTTGACTGAGTCAGGTTCCTTTCCGCAGAGCTTGTACGGCAGTTGAATCGTGGTGGTGCCTCCAATGCACGCGCCTTGGCTAGGCTCTCGATGGCTCGCACCAAAACGATCAGAGCATCTTGAGTGAGAGCCGCGTGTCTGACGCAAACACCAGGACTTTTTGCGATTGTTCACTTGCAACGCTGTGAGTAACGCTGATTCAAAGTGCTTATTTCGAAGTTTTTCACACATTTGACTTGGTCAACCATATTTCGAAATTTATAGGAAATTTATAATTGTAAATTTTCATATAGAGATAATTTGATAATAAAAAATAATACTAAAATGTGTTGTGGTTGTCTATTACCAGTTTGTTCGATGGAAGGAATGCAAGAATTCGCAGCACATCGACAACAATTTAGGAAGCCGGATATTTATTCATGATAATGACTGATTTCTGAGTAAGGAAAGCATTATAAGAGTGATCCAATAGTGACTGAGACCGACACGCATAGCATATACCGCCTGTTTCGTATGCTCAATACTTTGCAAGTTGCAATGTTCCTGATCCTCTTTGCATATGTGAAGTAGCATACCAGTTGCTCTAAACTGTTTGATCTCCGTGCCTTTCATTCTCATTACTTGGTTCATCTTCACTGAGAGCGGATAAAGAAATCCAATTGACACGGGTACACCATGAGCCCGAGGACATTTACCGAAACAAGAGGACGTGAAGCTGCTTGGCTGAAAGCAGATTGCCTGAAATTTATTTAGAGTTATTCTAAAACGCAGTGCCGATGGCTGTACATAAACACATTACAAACTCGCTTAGTCCTGCATCCTGCGTGTTTCTCTACCCAGTGTTCTCGTTCCCGTTTTGAAGCTTTGTCACCCCGAGTTTCAAGCAACTCAGGCAGTTTTGAATTTTACACCACACACCTATTGTAATTTTGCAAAATATTGTATTTTTGGGTCCGTTGGCGGAGCATGTTGCGTAGGAGGGGGCACAAGTCGGTTTGGAAGAAAGTACACAAGATACAGGCTCACATGCAAGTGGGCGTCTTTCCACTCTTGTGAACTTTTTTCCGAACCACTTCTGCACTACCGTACAAAAGATGATATTTTAACGCGAAAGCATTAGAGAGATCGTTTCGCATAAATTCTGGTGTTGGAGTCTTTGGTAGTGAGCGAAAAATCATCTTATCCGTTACTCAAAAATCGAGATTGATGCAAGTAAAGTAAGTAAACGCCATAAAATCTTGAAGAAGAGTAAGGAACGCACCAGGGTTGTTTGGGCTTGAGTGGCGACCGAACCTGGGTTGTTTGCGTGGCAGGCGGATATTCTACCACATGACCACCCCTCTGCTTGTGAAAACAGCGACAAGAACTTCGTCTGCTTGCTAATTCGGTGAAAGTAGCTTTCATGCTTCCCAAACACACGCGTCCTGTATACATTCATCGAGATGTAAGATGCAATATTGCAGTATTATTGCGTGGTACAAGCGTCCATTGCCAAAGGGCGTCAGAATATGTGATTATCATAATAGCTCCATGGTTGAAAGCCAGTACCCCCCTACAAAAGGCCCACATGGCACTGCACCTATTCCTTTAAGGCCACGTATAGTGGGTGCATAGCTAATTCGAAAAGGTTTCATGCACTAAATATCTGCAATACGCACTAGGAACAAGCTGTCGCTATGGCGTTCAACTTGTGAAGGCTAAGCTTTAAGCTCCCCAAATTTTTTGTTAGTCTTAACTATGTAATCAGGAAAAAACAATTATCCTCTTTGTTTCTCGAGGTATATATTTATTTTATTTTATTTTGTTTTATTTATTTTATTTTCACCAAAACAGGTACAACGGCAAAAATAGCGAATGCGAAATAGCAATGGCGAAAGGTAGTTGAACTAAGATATTGGATATGAAAGAGAGAGAGAGATAAAGATGCAAGGAAAGGCAGGGAGGTTAACCAGACGCACATCCGGTTTGCTACCCTGCACTGGGGAGGAGATAAAGGGAGAAAAGAGGTTGCGGAAAGATGAGAAGGTACACACAATCACGAGCACACTCGGGGAGCACACACAGTTTACAGGCGGTCGTTGGATATGAGAAGAATATTATAAAACTATGGAGCTATTTGTGTCATGGTAAACGGGGTGCAAACGGGGTAAGCAGACAATGTTCCTAATATAAACGAGTAATTTCAAGGCATCGGAAGAGCATCATGTTTTTACAAATGTAAAATGTATTGCTTGCAGTTAAATGTGGGGTGATCAATAGTCATGTGATCTAAGAAGCTCAGGGTTAAGCACGAGAAATGACACGAGAAAACCGAAGACAATGACCTTTTTTATTAATAATGTATGTAACGAGAGGTTGGTGCCAATCTCTCCTTACATACATTCAATAAAAAAAATTCATCTTCCGGAATTTTATTTATAATATGCGTTCATGTGTGCATAACTTCTTTTCATTAAACATAAAACTGCTATATATTACACAATGTTGCATTCTAACATTGGGTCTGTTACCTGCTGTAAAAGCTCATTTGCTGCTCTAAATCGAGGTTGTATATGCTCCAGAAGCTGCACATACGCACCTTCTGTCACAGTCAGTCTAAACAGGGAACCTCGACCTATCTTGTGATGCTTCTCAGAACTAAGTATTGCAGTGAAGCCTTTCAGCTTGACCTACCAGGGTTGTGATGCATGGTGTAGTCAGCTTTCATTGATTGGAGGCATGCACTTGTTGTGACATGTGATGTGCCTATGTACAACGACTACTTAGCCATACCAAGTTAATGCGGCGATGGCGTAGTGGTTAGAGCATCCACCTCGCATGCAAATGGCCCGGGCTCAAATCCCGGTGCAACGCAGTTCCCAACCGGATAAAAAAATTGGCAGCATATCCACGCAGTGAATGATGGATAGTGGGCAAGCATCCGTCCATCCATTTGTTCTTGCTTCCGCCCATCCATGCGTGCGTCTGCGTGGCCACCCGTGAGTCCATCCGCCCGTCCGTGCGTGCGTCTGCTCGTGCGTCCGCACGTTCATCTGAGCGTTCATCCCTGCTTTCGTCCATGCATCTGCTCCTGCGTCCATCCATGCATCTGCTCCTGCGCCCCTCCATCCGTCCATCCGTCCGTGCAGCCGTCCATGCGTCC